ATAGGACTCACGGTTCATTCACTTACTTCTTACAATAGTTTAAATGCTGAGTTGTCCTACAATTTGGGATAGTCTTTGAAACTAAGCTGGGAATTTTTTTTCTTGTTTATTCTGGTCCAGTTCAAATATTTATCTATTGAGAAATATCTAATACATTAGAATCATAGACCCACCATCTGCTTAAAGTGAGCCAACACCCACCTATAAGGAGACGGATACAGGATGGTATCCTGTTCCTTCAGCTTGTAAGTGACGGCAGCTGACGCTCTGGTTTGTTTGAGCTGCCCCATGCTAAGATTGCTTGATGAAATTACAAAAGGGTGTGTACACTTTCGCAACTCATAAAGATTACTTTCAGGTTCTCTTTGTGTAATCATTTTACAGTAATGGGTTCAAAGGACGCTAAAAATATCATCAGCTTTGGGTACGTGAGTGCATTTGTGAATTCTTCATGCTGATGATCTAGTGCAAGGAATGAAATAAGTGAATAAATCACTCAGTTCTGCAATTATGACCACAGGTCTGACTGTCCACTGAGAGAGAACGAGATCATTGGTGGAAAAGGTGATAGCAAAAAGGGACACTACTCACAGAGGTTTGTCTTTTTGAACAACCAGAAGTCCTCATTTTAGCTGACAAAGACACTTGGCTGACACTTGATTTTGGTGTTCTCCCTGAAACACTGGCTCTTGGTATTTAACAAGAGGCTTCTAGAACCTGGAACATGAATTTGTAGGGAAGCATTGTTCCTTGGAACAGCTGCATTGCTTTTTGAAGAAGACTTCCAAAGGACAAAAATTTCAGATGATTATATAGGAAGTGTCCTCCTGAAGGGCTTACCTTCAGGAGATTGTCTTTTTTTGGGACGATACTAATACAAATGAAGATATAAAGTGTAGTAAATAATACCTTCTAATAATAACTATTAGAACGCACGATAGTCAAGTTTCGAAGAGAATCCCCACAAACTACATGGAAAAACAGTACAAGCTGATATAACAAACATCCTGTTTGTTGCATCTGGTGCTTTCAATGGTTTAGATGGAATTATAAACAGGAGGAAAAATAAACAGGTAAGTTTTTCTAAGGGGTTACTGGGATAGAGAACATTTGAAGTTACAGAGGATGGATACTCACTTTCTATTCTCACAACTGCTGGTTGCCAGTTGTGGATTTTTAAGAGATTTTCTTAAGGCATACCAGAAATATATTTCCAGTTATTATTATTATTATTTGTAATTTAAGTAGTAAATTGGAAGATTTCTAAATATCATCTATAGGCATTTTTACAATATTAACTTGATGATTTTATCTAAAATGTGCTTTTACTATTTGAGGTAGGAGCTGATTCAGTGAAATCTCTATTCCTTCCTCTTGCCCAATTCACTAGAGCTCAGTAAAGAGCTTGTCTCCATTGCCCCTGCCCTGTAAAGTTTATCGTAGATCACTGCTAACATTCACAGCTGGAGGGAAGCAGTTTGGGGGCTGGAGAAAGGGTTGTGAATCTCACAGAGTTTTATAGATGTTTCTTAAACATTCTTGTAAGCCTTGATTTTAATGGAAGCTTCTTTCTTCATATCCTCAAGGTACATGCCCAGTACCTATTTGTTAATTGATTACAATTAAATGTAATGTCAACATAGAAACCCACAATATACCTGTATTTTCCACGTTTTTGTGTTTTACATAATAGCCACAAATGACCTCTTTTATATAACAATATTTTACTAAAGGAATATGTCATAAATCAACTCGTTCTACATTGTTTGTTGTAAGTCTGCTTATACTAGTTTCATGTACTAGTCTTGCATGTACTAGTTTCAGTAGCAGTTTAATAGTAGTAAAAATATTATAATTCTGCTAATGGGACAGTTGCCTGTGATAATTTCTTTACATAGGCTAGATGAGAAAACTTTTGTACAAATACTAATAGAGCCACATGATGCCATTATTCCTCAGTATCAGGTGTTATTCAGCATGGATAAGGTTAGGTTTTTATCTTTCATATTAGTTAACTTATGGGTTTTTTTGCTTCTGAAATTCTGTATAAGTTAGCCTAACAAATTCAAAAAAGAAATTATGTGCATGTGTGTGTGTGTGTGTGTGTGTGTGTGTGTGTGTGTGTGTGTGTGTTTGTGAGGGAGAGGGTGATTGGGAGAGAGAAGGAGACTTACTAATATTTTGCTTTCAAGGGCTTTCCATTTAGAGAAAAAAGATAGACATTGCCTAAGAAACGATTTCAAAAAACAGGAAGGAAAAAGCTTATCTTTCTTACCTCAGTAAGGATGTTTGTGAATACGCAGATTATGTATTATGTATCATTTTAAGTGCAGTGTGTTTTAAGTACTACTGTAAGCTTTATAGTATGTAAATCAGTATGTTAATGTGAGTTTTTCTGAAGCTTGGCAGAATATCTTAAACACCTAACCTAAAATTTCCACCAAGAATATCCTGCATACTTTAGTATTTTAGAGTCAAACCAACGGACACCAATTCCTTTATCCCCTGCAGTTAAGCCTTATTCTCTATTTTATCATATTGATTTCTACATGGTGGAGTACATTCTTGTGTCATTCAGGATTCACAGGCTGCATCTGTGTGAAGCCTGATAGCTCTACTAGAAGGTTGGGGGGGTCTCTTCATTGCTCTCACGTCATCCCATTACATTATTTAATACGAACCTATTTCCCATTCGTTATGGATCTTGCCACTAGACTGTGAATTCTGCAGGGAAACAAAATTGCCTTATTTTTTTTCTAGTTCATCTTTTGGTCCACAATACCAAACACAGTTTCTGGCAACGAGTAGAATTAAATGTTTGAATAATTGGGAACGATTAAATGTTATAAAATAATTGAATTTTTTTGAACTCAGAAATTGAGAAATTGATTTGAAATATAAAAGAAATGTTGCTGTTTTAGGCAAAAAATAAGGGAAAAGAGAAAGAGTAGGAGGAGAAGGAGGAGCGTCTAGTACAGTAATTCTAAATTAGGGTTGCCATTGATAGCAAATGAAAGTACAGGTCACCTAGTTAAATATGAATTTCACATAAATAATGAATACATTTGTAGTATAAGTATGTCCCAAATATTACATAAGATATACTTATACTGAAAAAAAAATATTGTTTCTCTCTAATTGAAATTTAACCAATGCCCTTCTTGACACTTTTTCTAATTTATTTTTGATTCGTAACTTTTTTGACTATTATATCTCTTTAAAATGCAAATGAGAGCTCTGAACGCTCATCTATAAAAAGGCCCTATCAGCACAGAACTGTGCATACTATTTCAGGTATTTGATGTTAGTAATTTAATTCTTAACCTTGGATGTGTGAGAGAAGGAATAAATAGTAATTTTGGAGGTTATAAGTGTAAAAGTAATGAAAATAAAGTTATATATGCATATATATATTCTAAGTGTAGTTTTACATTTCAAGGCTTGGGGTAACATTAGAAGCGATCAAATCTAAACCACTAATTTTATAAAGTGAAGAAATAAGATAGAAATATCAACTAGGATATAGAGTTTAATTGTTAAAGTTGGATAAAGGAAAATTAAATTGGTTACAAGGCTATATTGACTAATATAACTTATCAAATAATTGTATGTATAATGTATGTATATTAAATATTAGTGTATGTATAATTATATGCATAGATTATAGTCAAATATAATTATATGTATATTAAAATACGAGGGCACATGCATTTTTACAATAAAGAATAATCAATTTATCATTTCGTAACATTTTTACACTAATTGAAGAAAATAGTGAATGTTCTATTTTACTTATCAGTTCTTCAGAGAGCAATTAAATTGTCAACTGATGTCTTTTTAGTTCATTGCAAATGACCACCGAAATTTTCTGCCTCTGCTCTATTTATGCAACATTGGAATCAACTATATTACTTTAGTATTCGTACTTTAAATGACTAAATCAGAGAATGCCAGTGCACTTTGATGACAACATTCACTTTAAAAAAATCAACTTTCAGACTTTGATCTAAAACTTAAAAAGATTAAATATAGGATGTTTAATATTCTTCTGCAAATATGACACATGGATATCTAGTACTGATATCTAGTTATTGGTCATGTAACCTACTTATATCCAAATAGATTAGTTACTAAGTCTGCTTAAAATGAACAGAATAGTAATCAAGTAAAAGCTGGAAGGAACTTTTCTTGCTCTGACTCATGGAACATTGCAATTAATCAAATATCTATATTATAGACACTGTATATCTATTTCATATTAAGGTGTACTTTTATATCTCAAAATACTTCAAATTATTTAAATACAATCAAATCCTATGTGTTAGGAAAAGTTCTGTTCATTTAAAACATTCTCTCCCAGCTGATTATGGGATTTTTTTTTTCCATTAAAAAAGTTAGGAATTTTTGTAGTATTTAAATGAATGGAAGACATGGTACAGATCCTCCAGAAGCTTCCTGTGAAGAATTTAATTGGTGGTTGGATGTTTGATAATTTAAAAATGGATGTAATTCTCTCCTTCTAGTTAACTGGACATAATTTCTTAAAATTATTAAAAGTATTACATATCCATCCAATAATTAAATTAAACATTATTTTAAAATATTTAAAAATATTTTTAGCAATTTATTATAATTCATTTTTAAATGTCTTTTAATTTAAAGTAAGAAAAGAAGTCAATGGTTAACTCTGAAATATGGTGCTAAAAGTTCAAACAATAAGTGGACAGAGATGCATCTATTTGCTTTGGCAACATGCACACCATTTACGATCGGCCCCAGCGGGTTCGATGCAGTGGAGGGGGCAGAGTTAAGACTAGATGACTTGGTGACATGAATGAGAGGTGAGGAAGGAGAGACAGCCTCTTATTTAAGTCCTCCTGTCTCCTCCCAAACTCTTGGCTCATGACAAGCTTTCTTTGCTATGGATGCAGGCAGAAATTAAACCGCTACATTGTCATGCTCAGGTTTTGATATTTATTGAAATATCATTTTACCTTCATAAGAATATTGCAAACACATTAAAAATCTAAATAATAATGTTACAGAATCCATATACTTGCACATTTAGTATTAGTTAACCAGAAGTTCATCTTCATGACATTTGACCTCTTCAAGAAAATTCCTTATAACTCTGATTGAATGAGTTTTAGTGCTTTCTTCATGTTTTCTATCACTGAAATAAAAGTAAATATATATTATTCTATTAGTAAGTGAAAATATGAAATATTATAACCTTTTAACTCCTGAATCTAAAATTGGCCCATTTAACTTAATAGCTATGAAAACATGGGAATTTATCTACAACATTAAAGAATTTTATGCTAAAGGTGTACATATAAATTTAGGGATTAGACCATTCAGAGCTGGTTAATCAACTTTCTCTATGTTAAACAATTTTACCAGATGGGTTTTAAGGAGTATCTATTTTTTTAACTGATTTATTTTTTTAATTGATCACTGAATCTGACATGCATAGTTATCTTATTAAATATAGTTGACAATGATGCTATAAAAATTAGATTAAAGTCCCAAGTAAGACTGTATCTCCTTGCTTATAGCATTGAAAGGAGAGAAAAAGACATCACTTCGTGGAACTCACATGTGATCTTTATACCCACAGAATGGACTGGTTCTCTTAAGTGGTCTATATTCTTTTCAGTGGTCTCCAAATTTAATGATCATCAGAACTATTAGATATCCCTGTTAGAAACAAGATTCCAAGGTGCCCTGAAATTTCTGATTTCGGCGGGAGCTAAGGGCTTATATTTTAAACACTTCTACTACCAGCATTCCCAGTGATTCTGATTTGGAGATAGCACTATTTGTGGGGAAACGCTGATATAGGGCATCATCAACCCTTAGTCAAGCATCAGTTAGTACCTCTGATCAAGATAACTTGTGAATACTTACATTTTGGTAAATCCTGAGGTTCATATGTGTACAGTCTATTAGAGTATATTCCAATTAGATCAGCTCTGACTGTTAAAGAAGGATCTGCCAAGAAAAAATAAGTCACTAAGGTATTACTTAAAATGTTCTTAAAATCATTCTTGCCTTTTATTCTGAAACAAATATTGAGCAAATTTATAAGCAAAATCAGTTTTCAAACATGTGAATTCATAATGAGATAACTTGAATTCTCATTTTAGTGAGTCATAACTATCTGTCAATACAGTTTGGGAAACTGTACTAAAAGTACATTGAGATATTGATTTTGTAGCATCAGTTAGTTTTAAAAATATTTAAAATTTACATATTATCGATATAGTGAGTTTCGACTGTAGAACTAACAAGTCCGTTATTGACTGGATTAGTAATGAATCTCCTTTAAAAAGAATAGCACTCGAACTAGCATCTAAAAATAAAAGCAAGATGTTACTATTTTTATCAATCTGATGTACTGAGATTACACACATACCCACGAACATGATTCTAGGCACATATTGTCCATCAGGTGATAAATTTTTGTCTGTGGTCTCATGCTAGTAGGAGAAGAAAAAAAAATGTTATTAGATTGGATTGTTTTTGACAATTGATTTTGAAAATATTTTATGTGAATGAAGTTTTCAGAAGATTATTTATTTTGGCCTTGGATAATTTTATATAACATTCTGTATACACCAACACTTTATAACTCTTTTTGTCTTAAAAATAGGAAAAAAAAGAGATTCAAATTTCCATTGAATTGTGATATTCAGAAAACACAGTAGAGGTCATGTACCACGAGATTCAGCATGATGAAATTATTCTGAGCCATTTCTTGTATTTCTTTATTTTGGGCAAACACTTTTTTCAGTGCTGTGGGGGAGAATATAATGAACATCAGTCAGTTTTGAGGATAAAGACACCTTCAATATAGCATAGCAAAATAAAACTATTATTTTGCATTTGTTTGCATATATAACTTGAATGTAAATTGTTCATTGGCACATTGCCACTTTGTCTCTTATTGGTAAGCAATGAGGGTCACAGTCCATGCATGAAGATATTAGGGGATAATTGCATTAATGAAGCCACCAGTTTTATAATTTCATGTAACTCATTGACTCATTGGTTTAATAACATCTTCTTTTAGCAAGTTTTTCCATCTTTTTTTTTCTTTTTTTGTGGGAGGACAAAGGAAATAAAATTTTAAAAGACATATAATATCAATATTATAATTTTTAAGTATCTTAGTAAAATGGTGGTATGGTAGTTGTCTTTTTTTCCCCCCCAAATGGAATTTACTGAATGCTGCCTTTACAGTTCTTACCAGGTCACTTTTTCTAGTTTATACTGGAAACACAATAAGATCTCAGGAGCTAAAATTACCTTGGCAGTATTGACACTCCTCCAAGTGATGAATAACCATCAATGGCTTGTTACTAAACAGAGAGAGCGTGGAATTAAGTCAGGTGATTAACTCTGAGCCAAAATTTACAGTGAAATTAAATTTAAAGTTTTTGTATTTTCAACAAGACTTAAAGTAAAAATTTGACTGACAAATCATAGCAATGTAGTCTGTAGTAGTGTTAGTCAAAACATGGCCCCAGAACTTGGAGCATAACCAGGTAGCTCATTAGAAATGGAAATTATCAGGCTCATCCAGGCCCACCCAATCAGGATCTCTAGGGGTGAGGTCCAGGAATCTGTAGCTTAACAAGCTTATTCTTATGTACACTGGAGTACAGTTAGGAAAATAACAATCAATCCTATCTCCAGAGATGAAAGAATATTATGAGCATGAGCTTAATTTTCAATAAATATCTGGTATAAGATTTCAGGAGAGTCAAATTTTTATTTAGGCTTTTTTTTTTTTTTTTTTTAGTTTTCACAAAAAGCCTATTAATAGTTGACTTTCACATCCTTTTGTTCTTGTAACAAGTCACAATATACAATCTCAGAGTTTCAGAGTTCCGTCTCTATACATTTTCCAGTTTCATTTTGATTTTAACTCTTTGAAAAAAAAAGTTTGTATGGTAGCTAATTGACTTCTCTGCTCATTAGAATAAGAGAAAAATTAGAATATTAACTATATTGAAGGATAAAGGAATTATGATTTGGATATATATAGGATGTTTTTTAAAATGTTTAATTTTGAGATGATGTTCAGTACAAAAAGAGATAGACTCTAATGTATACATATTAAGCATAAATCTTTTAAAAAACAACAGGGTAATCATATGCAATACTTGTCATTGAATAACTCATTTTTTTACTTTAGTCTAAAAGTGTTAAATAACACACTTCGAATTATTTTATTTAATTCTCAAACTTAAAATATAAGTAAAATTTAGGTAGGAATAAATCCTACAACTCACTTTATTAGATGTATAATATAGGTATAAAGCTAGCATTTGCCCCAACTTCAAACTTATTGGTGAAAAAGCAGACAAATCTGATAAATGAAATATTATTTACCTGCTTGTTTAGAAAATCAGCCCTATGAATATTTATTGGCATTTTTTAGAGGCAAGTATAGAACTCAGACCTCCTGAGCATCAAGTGGTAATCTTTCTACTAGATAACTGGTCAATCTTAGGAGGAATAGGTGTCCTGAGACAGAGAACGTATTAGCAGCATGAGTCATTCTGATTCCTGAACTGCTACCATTTCTTCCCAGCACCTGCCCAACAGCTAGAAACAAGTATAGAAAAGACATTGACGTAACTGATGGTAAACTAATTTCAGCATCAGATTTTTGGGCAATTGGAGTCCAAGGAAAAATGTATCAAGACCACAGGAATCTCAGTCTTCACAATTCAGCCATGAATAATAGGTTGTTCGGGCATTCAAACCAAGACACTATTTCATTTCAAGAAAAGCAGAGAAGTATTTCTGGCAGACGCTCAAGGAGGGACAGTCTGAAAAAGGGCTCAAAACTGTTTCAGCAAAGACATAAATAGTAAATATTTGAGGTTTCCCAGGCTGTGTGGTCTCATTCGCAACTATTCAACTCAGCCATTGTTGAACAAAAGCAGCCATGGACAATATGTAATGAAATGCATGTGGCTGTGTTATAGGAAAACTTAATTTATGGACATTAAAATTTGAACTTCATGTAACTTTCATGTGTCCAAAATATTGTTTTCTTTTGATTAAAAAAACTAAATTTAAAAGTCATTCTTAGCTCACAGACCAAATAAAAACAAGTAGTGTCTGGTCTAAAATCTAGTTCATTAGATTTTAGACCACAAGACGGTCAGAAACTTGAGTTGAGAGAAAGCATAAATTCGCAGCAGCTCTACTTCTTAGAGTCTCTAAAACCAGAGCCTACCAAGCCTAGTGCTTATCAGCGTCATTTGGTGAATTATCTTTTAAAATTCCACATTTTTTATTTTAAACTTAGTAACAAATTCAAATGGTTTACAATCCAAAAATTAAGAAAGTAAAAAGTTTTCTTCCCATTACTGTCTTCCAGAAGTAAACAGTGTTATCATTTCTTATGTTTCTTTCCAAAGGTTTTCAGGTCACATATCTGAATATATGTAAGTATATGTACATGCACGCGTGTGTATGCATGTATGTATGTATGTATATGTGTGTATATATGTGTTTACATATGACTAAACATATGATTATGTATACATATGTGCTTATGTGTATATGTATGTTTATGTAAATGCATATGATTATGTTTATGTGTATGAAGATAGAAATTATTTTATATGTCCATATGCACGTCCATGTGTATGTATACTTATATATTCCTTTTTTTTTTTCAAACTACAAATTCTAGCACACTATACACATATATTTGCGTTTTGCTTTTTAACATAAAGCCACATCTTGGATGTCATTTTGTTGTGCTTCTATATAATATTCCATTATATAGATATTCTTTAATGGAATATTATATAGATAGATATTTAAATGGTTTCCAATTTTTTGTGTTTAGAGTATTTCTAAACAGTTACAAACACTGCTTTGGTAATGTTATTTACATATGATTTTGCATATGGGTGAGTATATTTGAAAAATGAATTTCCATAAGTCAAATTTCTGGGTCAAAGAGTATGTGTATTTATAATTTTGATACATATACTTTTCATAGAAGGAATACGGTGAGGCAAGAAGAACATCTAGGGTACAAAGTCAAGTGTCAAGTGCTTTATTTTTGCGTCCTAGGGTCTTCTCTTGCCTCACCCTAATGTCAGCCCTTCTTACTCTGAGAATTTAAAGAAATAAAATTTTGCAATAATATCTTTTAGTGCCTTAATGGCTTCATTTTTATAATTAAATCTTTGTAATTTATTGTGATAAAATATGGGGCAGGGATCCAAATTGATTTATTTTTTCCAGATGGCTACCAATTCTAATATTTTACATATTCTATCACCTCTATCTCTGCTTTAAAAAATGTCACTTCATTGTATAAAAAATTTCTGTAGTATCATTTTATTTCTATAATCTCCATTTGGTTCATTTACCAATAACATTGTTTTATCATAGCTTTGTCAAATGTTTCATATTGATTAAGGGTGATTGTAGACATCCTTGTCTTATCCAGACTTCAATGGGATACTTCTATTTGTTTTCCCAGTAAACATGATGGCTTTTTTGCTGGGATGGATGTTTCCTTGTTAGGAAAAATGAAAATAAATAAATATTGTTAAATAATAGTTCTTAAAAAAATCAAACATGGATTTGCCTTCTATTAAATGCCTTTCAGCATTTCTGAAGATAGGAGATATTTGTGTGATTTATCTCTTTATAAATGTTAAATTATTTAAATTAATAGATTTCTTAATCTTGTATCTTCCTGGCATTTCCAGACTAAATCTCATTTACTCAGGGTATATTCTTTAAATGTTCTGCTCGCTGTTCTTTGTTAATATGTTGTTTGTTTATTACATTTCTATTTGGAAATGATTATTCCATAGACTTCTTTCTTTTGTAATATTTGTCCAGTCTTGAGACAGTATTTTACTCAATTCTCACTTGGAATCTTTCCTTCTTCTTTAAAGAGTATTGTAATTGAATGTTCTTCAGATATTTGATAAATTCCTGATGAGCTTTTTAAAAATACAAGTTTCTCAGCTCCATCCCCAAAGATTTAGTAAGTCTGTAAGAATACAAATCATGTCACTCTTGGTCACTGAGTGTAGAACAGTGCTTGGCCATAGCAATAGCTACTCAGTAAGTACTTGACAGATTGATCATGAGTATGGATTTTAAAGGAAACTTTGAATTGTTCTGATGATCAGACAGCCTTGAGAACTGCTTTTCTAAGCCAGTTCCTGTTTAAGCTTGTATAATGCCTAATAACTAATAACGTTTTTTATACAACTTATATTCAAAAGCTTGCTTCGGTAATTAAGAAATTGACACAAAGGTATTTAGAGCTCTTGTTTATAAAGAACATTTTAATGGCAACTCGTAGTCTAAAGAGCATACAGTCATGAAGCAAAATACCTGTGGTATCCTTTCAAAAGCTAACAAACTGGTTTGGGGCTTTTCTGTGAGGAGGTACCTATATGATCTGTCAAAACTAACTGGGCGGGGTTTTACCTTTTTCGAGTATGAAAGAGACCTTCTTCATAAGTCTGTACCCAAGTGATGTCATCTCCCCATCCTAAAACATAAGAAAGAAATCAATACATTAACACAAAGAGCTCTGAAACGGGTACGTGACGAATACCTATCTATAGATATTTATGCTATCAAGCAGTCATCTTACAAATGGTAGAGAGGCTATATAATTATAATTGGATACAAAGAGGTGACATCCTTTCAGATTATAGTGCTGAGGTTTTGTGACTGTGTTTCAAACCGCAAGGCCCATGGCCTTGAACCCAGTAGTGCTGAATAAGTGCTGTTATTAGTGATGATTGAAAGAACTCTGGATCATGCAAAACCTCTGGCTTTTAGAGTGAACAGCAAAAAATAACAGTGAATGTTTGCATACTTTGTAAGTCTATCTGGAATACTTTGGACCATACTATATAGTGCCCTTGTGTCTTGAGTATCAAAAGATGCTGACCCCTTCTAAGTCAGTATACATCATGAAAAAGCAATTCTAAAGTTTGCTTTGAATTTTGTCATAGAAAAAATTCTGGTGTGGGAATTTCATGGTTGAGAAACACAACAAAAACACAGGTGTTCTGGAAGCTTCCAGAAGAATGCTGGGGAGGGAAACAGAAAGCAAAGAGTAGAAGGAGAACCTGCTAGCCTTTTAAAAAGTGTTACTGGTAGTTGAGAATGTCTTTTAGAGATTAAAGAATAAGTTCATTGAAGAGAAGAATGCACAGACTTTCCAGAAATAGTATTTTTAGGAAATGTGTCAGTCATCCTAATGGATGAGAAAAATTAAATTAATTTGAAAATAGAAATATTTGCAGGCCAGTTTGGACCCAGATTTTCTCATATGTTGTCAGACTGCAGCTTCTGGTTTTGATACCATGGCTGAAAGGTGACCAGGAATTATGAAGCAGAATTACAAAGCAAGATGAACACATTTCTGTGATTTTTGCTTGTTTGTTTTTGTTTTTGTTTTTTGCTTTTTGGTAACAGGTGTATTAAAATATAATTCACACAAATACAATTCATCCACTGAAAGTATAAGCTTTTTTTGTATATTCACAGAGTTATGCAACCATCTTTACTAGCAATTTAAAAACATTTTCGTCACTTCAAAACAAACAAACAAACAAACAAATAAACAAAAAACAACGCTGTATCTTTTAGCTGGGACTCTCTAATCCTTCCATCTCCCTCAGCTCTAAAAACATCTAATCTACTTTCTGTCTCTATAGATTTTCTTTTCTGGATATTTCGGAAAAATGGAACCATATAATATATGGTCTTTTGTGACTAGATACTTTTACTTAATATAATATTTTCAAGGTTCATCCATGTTGTGGTATGCATTAGTACTTCATTTCTTTATATGGCCAAATATTATTCCATTGTATGGATATACCACATTTTTATTTATCCATTCATCAATTGATGGACATTTGGGTTGCTTCTACTTTTTGGCTTTAACGAATAATGCTGCTATGAACATTATATGAAGTTTTTATGCAGACATATGTTTTAATTTCTCTTGAGTGTATATTTAGGTTTGGAATTGCTGGGTCACATGACAACTCTACATTTAATCATTTAAGGAACTGTCAGACTGTTTTCAAAGTGGTAGCACTATTTTACTCCCTTACCAGCAGTGTTGTTGGTTTTTGCCTGATTTTAGTATCTTAACATTGGAAGACATGTTATGTTTGTTTACTGCCTTGCCTAAATGTAGTCATCCTGATTTTCTTTATAACTTTGCTTGAACACGTGTAGTGACTTCATACCACACTTTGCATTAAATAAGAGTTATTCTAGGAATAGCCAGTGAGACTGGACTCCTATTTAATTTTTTGATTCTTCTGCAAGTAATATTCAATGCTGGAGCTTCGGCAATGGGAAGAATTACTATTCTCTGTTCCTGTTTAACTTAGTCCCACAAACATTAAAGGAATATCTGCAGTATGCCTTACTCCACTTAGCACTGGGTGTACAAAGGTAAGACAATGACATTCCTGTTCTCAAGCCATTCATAGTCTTGTAGGGGAGCCATATTGTAGTGTAATTATTTGTTATACACTTTATCTCATAATCACAACAGGCCAAAGGTGATGCAGTTTAAACTCTCTTCAGGGTCTCTGTTCGTTACCATAATTCTTTTTCTAGCTATGCTTGCTTGTTTTCTGAGATTTTATTTATTCATCCAAAATATTTATTCAGTGCCTACTATATGCCAGTAACTGGGCTGGATGCTGGGTGCTGGGCAGTTCTTTTGATTTAAAAATAAGTTAGAATTTCTTTTTTTGTGTGGGGGGGTCACCATTTTGTTTTCTTAAAAATGTTATACCTTTTTCCCAATAATCTTCCCTCTTTTTCCAAATACTCTCTCTACTTAACTCTTTGGTGCTTCCCCCTGCTTTAAGGGGCTCCATATTCTACTCTGCACATGGTACCCAAATTCTTCTCTCTTATCTCTACCTTTAATCCTCATTCATTTTGAGCCTTATTCTTTCAATTACTTCCTACATGCTAATAGATGGTAAAGGCTTAACCAAATGTAAACTGATTCTTAAAATAATGGAGTTACCAGCTGATATCAGTCATTTTTCCTATTCAGTTCTAAATAACCGAAATAGCAGACTCATCAAGTTGTTTAAAATTTAACATGTATATTGAGTATATTTTAAAAAATTCACCAAAAAAATTTAATAGACACTTGCAAGTGAATACACAGAATGTTGGGACCTTATGGTACAGTTGTAGCATGCTGTTTAACTCACTCCTGGAGGGTCTTTAAGGGCAAAGACTAGCTTAGTCTTTGGCACTTTCAGGCTATGGAGCTCATTGTTTTATAACTATAATGTTTGTATGTAGAAATACATCATAAATTATACTTAGGAAGATATTTCCCTCTTTTATTACTTTTGCAAAAACTTCTGGTTTATAGTTTCCATGATTCTAAACTGGAGTAGAATTAATTAACTTTGATGGACAATTGGCTGGCACTCAATACACCTGTTAAAGAATGAATGAACTTGGAAAGAATATCAATATTTTAAAATTTGAAATTGCGCTATAATTGATCTCCATTTGCTCCCATCACATTACTATTCCAAGTAGCAGTCAAGTGTTTAGTGGTTTATACTTCTAATTTTAAATTAGCTATATGGAGATGAATGATTTTGTTCTTATTTCTGTTACCTGGAGATATAGGAGCCAATTTTGAGAATTTTCTTTATAAAATATTTCTTTATAGATGAAGATATATTTGTTTCTTAGGTGAAAGAAAAACACTAAGTACAAAATGGAAATGTTTTCTAAACACATAGCCAGTGATAGCTCTAGATTATGATATCGAAAACCACTGCAGCTGTTTTCTGGAGTCTATATAGCAAACTCTTGGTTAACCAAAATTCTCAGAGGAAGGGATAAAGTATAATTTTCTAGGATCCTTGTATATAATTCCAAATTATTTTTTTGCCTAAATACATAGAGGACATAGAATTGAAGCAGATTTTGAGGGATATTAATTTCCTGTAGGACATTGTTATGATATATCAACCAATATTATTTTCTAGGATTCTGGTTACTAAAGTTACAAGCAACCAAACCACTTTGCCACTGTTTCTATAAAAGATAGCAAATCGTTATCGGTTTTCAGTTGGTTTAGTTCACTCTTTAAATTCAACTGATCCTTTCTGTTTTTTGTTCTTGTTGTTGTTGCTGTTTAGTTTGCCTATTTTAAAGTGGTAGACAACAAAATATTACAGTTAACTAAGTTTGCTTTATAAGGAGACTATGGGTAAGAGACTGGGAATTTTGAAACAATCCAAATGACTGAGTTTAGAAAATAAAATGAGATTCCAGTACCTCTTGAAAGTGTCTGAGGAAGCCTCTTTTCTTTTTTGATTGCAATGGCAAGGTTGGAAGAAACCGTGACCAGTATGAGGCAGAGGAACAAAGCTGAGTGTGACATCGTGTGTTCTTGAGAAGCCTTCAGAAGAAGCTAGATGATAGAAAATAATTTTCAGAATTTAGTAGGTTACTTCAAGCTTTCATTAAGACATTTGTTATTCAATGCCACATTTTTACAATTGTAATTAAACCTTCTTGTACCCAAAAACATTTGCTAAGAGTCATGCCAAACTTATGCTGACAGTTTGCTCTGCTTGCATGGGTTGACATGGTACAACCTTCATTTGCATTTTATTTAAAAAATATTAAAAAAAATTCAACCAACTTAGTAAGCATCCACTTGGAGAAAATCCATATTCTGGGCATTGTGGGAGCAGTTCGATGAAGTTGAAAGAGAATTGGATGGGGCCACTCAAAGCTCATCTCTGAGTGCATTTACAGCACTACAGTGAAACTCAAATAAGATAGGGTTTCTTAAAGGTCTTTCAGCTCTAAAGCACAATGCAAAGGTGAATTCTGGCATGTATAAATATCCTTTTGATTTCTTCTTGATCTGATAGATTAAAACAACATTTTAATTTCATACCAAGTTAATAATATTAGACAGGAAGAAATATTGCTTATAATAGAATTCAGAGAAAAAGTGGAATATAAAGGATTCTTATTCTTCAGTTCCTCTACAGTTACTTCTCTTTCTCATCCTTCCATCTGTTACTTAGCCTTTTGTCCTTCGGTTACAACCCAGCTCTTTTTAAAATCAGATTTATTGTCACATTGCTATAAATTAAATGGATGGGTAAAGAAGCACAGACTTGCTGCACATATTGTTCTCCCTTGGTTAGCTAGAATTCAAATGGATTTTCAACTCAATGTACTATCCCAAGATATAATCAAAAGTCTAGAGTTAGACCTGAGCTGGTCTTAAACCATTTGATAAATATATTACATGGAGTGTGCAATACTTATGACATGTTCCTCAGTTACAACATGTATAGCATATAAAACCCATGTGAAATAGTTGACATATGTAGTTTTGAAATCACCTCAAAATATACAATGTACAGAAATCTTTCATGTTTATTCAAAATTCCTTCAAAACAATTTTCCTGTTGACTTATTTAGCAGTGAATTCCTCACCCAAATAGTGAATGACTGTTTTGTGATTCTGCTCAAACAAGAATGTTGCCATATATAATAACCGTATTAGGCATTGCGGGAAAATCGAGAGATTAGTAAGACAAACCCTCCTTAAAATAATTAACTGCCTGATAATGGTAATAGGCTCATCATGTAATATATCAACTGTAGTCATGGAGAACAACAACTTTGAGGTGGGGAAGTGTATAGATTCTAGGTTTCCCCAGACGTTTCCTCACTCCTCTCGTTCTAGTATCCTTCCCTTGCCAGTGGCTTTCCCTTTCAGCCCCCCTCGGGATTGAAAATGGTTGCCACTGCAGGTTAGTCCCAATCATTTTCTTTCCTAATCTTCAGTGAACTCGTTTTATATATATATATTTTGTATCCAGTTATTAAAAAAAGAAACCCTGTTAAACAATAACCACAGTACCTGATAAAGACTTCATTTTAAGTTCTTATAACTTATTAATACCATAAAACATTTCAGAATGCCATCTTTTACCGTAAGGACTGGTCATCTTGTACGTGAAAGACTAAAACAAAGAAAGAGCAAATTTTAGTAGGGGATAGAGACAGCCGAATCTGGAACACAAAGCCCAGTGTCGGGGGCGCAGGCTCTATCAGGTGGAAAGTTGCAGTAGAGAAATGGAAGAAACCATTTAGGGCAGGGTCTTAAACTGAAAGAAGCATCAGAAGAGGTCCTTTATGGTAAAGACAGATAAGTAGGTGGAATCTATATGAAAAGAGAGAAAGTATAACTTTATCATCTTCCTATTTTAAAACTGCCAGGTTTAGAGTTGAGTGGAAACCAAACTTAATTTTTTTTTCAAAATTCAAATTATTATGGATTATTGTTAAAGAATGTTCTAGTGTAAAAAAATCAAAATGTCAATTTTCTGTTTTACATTGTTTGATAAATGGTAAAATATATATTAAATATATTCTATGACAAAGCTGACCAATTTATATATTGCTATTTTTGGATACATACTGCTTTACTTGGTGAAATGGAATGAGAATTGCTGAGGATTCTCTAACACCAGACGCATGGTTAAGCTGCTAGGGGAAACAGGAATATGGCATGGTTATGGACCTGGGTCAGCTTACAGTGTACTCAGGAGGCACATAACCAAAAGTCTACAATTAGGTGTTATAAATATTGGCCAGTTAACATTTTCTAACACTAGTATTTTACTTTTCAAAAGTAATTCAACATGCCATTTACTTAGATATTACATAAAAATATTCTTTATTTTAAAATAAAACAACATTTAAAAGAAAATAGGGAAAAACAATTGTTACTTGTAGCATAATTTTTGAAGGGTCCTTTTTTGGTCAATGCTATTTTATTATGATATCATTAATATAAGTAAAGAATGAAAGTATGAAGCCAGCAAAGGAAATTCAGTTCATTAGAAGAAAAATATAGAATCTCATTGAACGTTCCCTAACCTTTACTGAAGACCTCACTTTTGAATAGCAATCTTTGGGTTATTGAAATATAGCAGAGCTTGACCACTGATTAAATAATCGAGAAAGTTTACTTGCTTACCTGAACTAGCCAGTGCTCTTGCTGGAAGTATATTCTGGATGTTTCTGGTTTAAAATGGGTGTGGATTTATTGACACACGCACGAACACACACACCTCTGACCTACAGCCCCACCTGCATTGAAACAAGAGCGCAGTCACCTGGCAAACTTACAAAAATAGGCTTGTCTGAAAAACCCTGTATTTCTTTCCAGTTCTCGTGTTTCTCACGCTAAAAAACAACAACAAAATTTTCTTTTTCTCTAAATTAAGGTTGAATGTCCTCATAAAATGGAGCCAAATACAATCTTTGGGCTGTTTTCTCTTCTACCTTTTATTTCCCAAGGTAATTTAATGTTTGGCTGGAGTTCAACACCAGAAAAAAAAAAAAAGGAGGGGAAAGAAAGAAACTGGTATGAATGTAGGAACTGTGTGTACACCTCTGTTTTTGATGAATGTTCAGTGAGCCTCGCAGATTAGATATGAAGCAAACAGAAATTCCTAAGGGTTACTCTGTTTACAGGAATGCAATTAACAGCTAAAGAGATCAGTGTTATTTTTTTTTTCCAGAGAGAGAAAAAATAAATAAAATGTTGTTTTAAAATTCCACATTTTTATAATTCGATTACTCTTCACAGTGTTTTTATAAAACCCTTTACTTTACTGTGCAAAATATAGGAAAACAGGCAATTAGTTTGTTTATATTTATCTAACAGTTAGACTTAAAAATTTCATAATTAGTCCAGTATTGTGGTAAAACATTTTTCAAGTATATTTTGTGTCAAAATAAAAAGGCAAAATAATTCATCACATAAGTCATAAATTGAATTTAGGTTTAGGATTACCTATCCATTGTGTGTGTGTGTGTGTGTATTTGTGTGTCCATCTGTCTATGTTTCAGTTTGTTAATCTCTCAGAATACTAAAAAAATAAACATTGCGAAAAGGTCAACAGTGGAAAACAGATCTCCCTCCCACCCATCTTCCAGTCTATGTGTCTTCTAACTGAGACAATAATTATCAACTTCTTGAGGCTTCTTCCAGAAATATTTTCTCTATATTCAACCATGTCCTTATCCATTTAGTGTCTGTCTGTCTGTCTATCTCCCTACCTATCATCTACCATCTCTGTATATATCTATTTTTTATTATTTACACAAATGGTGCCATTCTATCAATACTTCTGAACTTCTATTTTTTATTTAATAATATTGAATAGTGTATCATATCAGAACAGGTACTTATGAAACTATTAAATGAAAGAGAAAGACTATTCTATAGAAAAAATTATCTTTATTTTGTAAATCCTGTAGAGACAAATATTTACTTTAAAAACTTTGTTTACAGAAAAAAAAGATTCTTTGGATTAAAGGAATAGATATCTACAGAATTTGTTTTTAGCAATGTTATTTTACACCAAGCATTTAAAATCATAGTGTTTTTATAAGCCTCTCATATTCAGTGTCAGCAGCCTATAGATTCTTACTCTGTCAAGAATCACTACATTTCCCATTGCAAAAAAACAACCCTTTCATTCAGCATCTCAAGTCTCTTTTTCATGGCAGTACAACTAAACACTCGGCAAATGTGATATTTCACAATATAAATATAAATAGGATGTATTCCTTGGTTCTTGCCCTGTGGGCCAGATAAGAGTAAACAGAATTGTGAGTATAGCTTTTGGATTGGAGATTCAAGTCCTTCAATTAGGCTCTTATCCGTAGCCTGTGGGGGTAACATTTTACTTTTATCCATAAAAAATGTCTCTATGCCTTGAATAGGGAGAGCATTTTTCTTTCCATGGAGGGAAGTCAGGGACCAAACTGGCCACTCAGTTTCCCCAGATCCAGTTTAGGGAAGAGCCTATTTTGGAAATTATGGGTGCAATTAAAATGGAGCGTGCAGAGTTGGGAGGCAGCCATAGGAAGTCTGCCCTGGATTTAAAAATAGTATTCAAATGAATGAAGAGCTGTTCAGACAATGGGGAAAAGAAAGCAGAGCTAGTGAGTCACAGAGCCAGAGGAAGGAGAGGAATAAGCAGTATGTCTGGGGAGTACAGAGGGGCGGGGCTCTTGGGTGATGTGTTAGACAGCCAGCTCCACTTACAGAGCTGGAGAGAGTATGGATATGATCTGATTGTGAGATTGGAGAATGAAGAATCTTAAGATGGCAACTATAATGTTTATAATGAGATAAATTCAAGTTTAAAGGCTATAACTTAATCTGTAAAAGCTAAATTATATTCATAAGCTGCAAATGTGAAAACACCAAGCCACGTAATAAATTATGTTTCTAGGGGAGTTATACATCTTTGTGTGGGGAATTATTTTATTTTAATGACTTCAGAAATATTAATAGAGGAATGTCCCCTGGAAGAGGATAC